AAAAAAAAAAAAAACTCCAAAGTCACAGAGGCAGTAAACTTTTGGCCTCTAAGCCATTATTTTCTCCCTTAACCTAGAAGGAGCTGTAGTAGGCAGTGACATGACTGGCCATTGTTCACTATGAAATTTTCACTCTCTGTTGCTAATTACATACCACTTAAATGTGTTTTATTAGATAGATCAAACTCATTACAATTTTTAGATAATGAAGGCAGTATGTATTTTTACTAAATGGTTAAAAAGACGTGGTAATCATCCAAATGAATTCTAGATTCCATGTGTCTTTTTTTTTTCATGCTTTCACTATTGTTTTCCCCAAATTTTCACCTTTCAGCATTCCCATAAACGCAGCTGGCATGTTTTCAAACCCTTCAGTGATGTATTCATGGTACTGGATTTTACCCTGTATCAAAATGACAACAAATAGAACAGATTAATTTCATATTCTGAATGATATACTTTTCTCATCATAGCAACAAATTTATCAGGAACATCATTATCTTGGACATCTAAGAGGGAGGCCCAATCCACCATGAGCGAATAGTCAATCTAGTGGCATGAGCCACAAAGTACACATAAAAGTTTGGTAACGGGTGTTAGGTCACAGTATAACAATAGAAGAAATGCTACAGGAAAGTGATTAAGCAATTTATAAGTAAATCACATGGAAAAGTTTAATAATGTAATGATCTCAGAAGAGGTGGAAGAAGATGGAAAAAGGGGCCCCCTTCCAGAGTATTATCCACTTTAATCCTTCCAGTAGCTTCATGATGTAGCATCATTACCTCTCTTTGACCCCTGAAGCGGCAGAGCCTGTTCAGGAATTGTAAATACCATGGCAATCTAATAATTCGTCCTCCCTTCAAGCCCAGATTCTTTCAATATGTGTTGAACATTCACTTAGGAATGTGGGAGGGAAGGGCTTATTTAGTGAGGGTTTTTCCATTTCTCTGCTACAAGGCAGTCTACTAAGTGGAACTAATTTACATTTTCAAGGTTTTTATAAAGGGTCTTCTGTGGAGACTGGCGTTACCGGATACCATTTATTTTCTTAACATATTCCAGTGATGGCTTAGTACCCTTTATGAATTTATGGAGGGACAATTTGCTTGGGGTCACTCAACTAATTGATAAGTATGGAGGCTGGGATTTGAGGAGGCCTTGACTAGGAAGCCCCAGCTCTTTTCTGTTCTTAAAGGAGGCAAAGAACCTGTAAAGGGGCAAATGCTGTAATCAAAAGTTTATAAGTTAAAAGTAGAGGATGAATACTAATATATAGGTGATAATAATATGGTAAATTAAGGTGCAGAATACAGGGCATATTGAAACCCTTTGTACCATCTTTGTGATTTTTCTATAAATCTCAAACTATTCTAAAAGAAAAGTATATTTTCAAGAAGAAAAAGAGATGAGAAAAAAAAATAAGTAGTTGAGAGAGAAATTAGGCCAATTCACTAGTTACTGAAAACAAAACTGTAATTAGGTCCACTCTGTTAGAAGGAGGCATTAGGAAGACCAGCACAGTGGTTTCTTGTTGTCAGTTGCCATCATGGGAGGGCTAGATCAGATTTCACCAACAGGGACAAAGAGGCTCCACACTGGGAGCTTGAAAATCATTCAGCTCTTCCCAGCTTCCTGGAAAGAGCCCAGCTCAGCACTCCAAGCGTTGGACTGGGAAAAACACCAAGCTCCAGTGGCTGCCAGAGGAGCAATCTATTTGAATTGGGAAAGGATGATAAAGCCAAGAGTTTAGAAGTGTGATATCACTTTTCCCCTCCAAAACTAAAATAATGCTCCTTGGTTATTCAGAATTCTGTTGACTAAAACTGCAAATTGTGAAAGATGGGAAAAGTATCACAACATAGGACAGGATTGGCTTCTTCCTGTGGATTGAAAGCCATGGCTATAGGAAGATGCCAATTTGGGACCTGGAAGAGCCACAGCCCCAAATATATGCCTCTCCAACATTTATCCAACAATATTCATCTAGAGTTTACATTGATTCAGACACTATTCTAGGTGGTGGGGATACATCAGAAAAAAACGCATGAATGTTGCTGCCTTCATGGAGGTTACATTCTCACAGGAGGGCGATGGGCAATAAATATACATGAATTATAGTATACATCATGTTAAAAGATAATAATTTCTATGGGTAAAAGTAAGATAAGGAGGATCAAGAATGGAGGGGGACTGCAATTTAAAATAGGGGCATTA